GGGGATTTGTTTGGACTCATATTTTCATGTCTCTGCGGTAGATATCTAGGGGCGAAATAATTTGGTCACATGGTAAAGCTTTCCAAAATGGCTATGCCGTTTTACATTCCCACCAGCACTATATCAGAATTCTGGTTTCCCTACATCCTACCCAGTACTTGCTACTGTCCATGTTTTCGACCACAGCCATCTCAGTGGGTGTGAGGTGATACCTCGCTGTTGTTTTGATTTGCATTTCCCTGGTGACTAACGATACCAAGCATCTTTCCATGTGCTTACTGGCCATTCGAATAATTTCTTCGGTGAAATGTCCATTCAAAATGTTGCCCATTCTTCGACTGGGTGTCTCTTTATTATTGAATCTCAAGAGTTTTTTTTTTTTTTTTAATGTATTCTAGATACAAGTCCTTTATTAGGTATGATTTCCAAGTATTTTCTCCCAGTCTGTGGCTTTTCAGTTTCTTAGAGGCACAAAGGTTTTTGAATTTTGATAAAGTCAGTTTAGCTTTTTTTTTTTTTTTGGCTCTTATCACTTGTGATTTGGTGTCATATCTAAGAAGTCTTTGCCTAACCCTGCCACGTTTTAGAACAGGCTTCCCCACCTCCACCACTCATCAGTATGTCTTCGCCATGTTTCTACCTCAGTACATAGAGATCTGCATCATCAGCCTTCATAGATCTGGTTTCTGGAAAGAGGGGCGGGAAGAAAGGAGACAAGAGGGCCAGGCCACTCTGAATATCCAGAGCCACTCGGCTCATCCTTGGGAGCTCCCTACTTTCCTTTTGGATCATCTTGCGCCTGGTACCTCCTCTGTGGTTTGTGAATAAAAACTTTATTAGGCCGTTAGCTTCATCACATTTTATGTGTTAGCACCTTGGTCGCACAGATTCCTAGCCTCAACGTTTCTGTAGCCTTAAACCCCTCCATCACAGATCCCGGGGAGGGGAGGCTCCCCTGTAACATAGAATTTGACAGTCACTGCTTCCAACATTTACTACATTCTCTAAAACTGGATTGGCGTTTGGGAATAATTCTGCTCTAGCTAATGTATTAAAGTATAAATGTATGGAAAAAGATAAATAAATAGTACCTAACAGCAATTGGTCTGTGTGTTTTAATGGCAGTATTCCTCCACAAACTGGTGGTGATCACGTAACAGGTTCCAGAACAAGATGATTGGTTGGATCCTGGCCTCTGTCCGGAATAGAGCTTCACTGACTCGATGGGTAGGGTATGAGGGATTGTGTACAGCTAGAAGCTTCTTTAGAAAATAATTTGCAGCCAGAGAACACTAATGGAGAATGTGAAAAATGCTCATTTGCTAAGTGAGGGTAACCAGATAACCACCTCGATGAGAAGCCAAGTAGGGTGGGTTCCATCCTTTGCAGACCTAACCACCGCACCCCCCCCCCCCCGGGGATGGGGGCCCAGAATTTGGAACCTGAGAACTAATACTGGAGAAAACAAGGAGAGTGGGGGGAGGGCAATGTTAGGGCAGCCCCCTGGCTGGACAATGGCTGTTGTGGGGTTAGGGAGGTGTCACCAAGTAAACAGGTAGGTAAAGGACCCACAACAGCCCTCCATGCTGGGTGGATACTCTATGAGGCTGAGAAATGCAGAGGGAGGTCATTCAAAGTCCTTTAAGACACAGCGTTAGGTTTTTTAACTTTTGGTTTTCACAAGGCAAACAATACCAAGCCACTGCAGGGGCCAGCTGCTGTTTGCATGGAATATACTGGAATACTAAGAAACAGGGAGACCCGCTGGGAGCTACTGCAGATCCAGACAAGGGAAGGGCTGGTGTTCCAGGGACACGTGGGTGTGTAGGAAGAAATGATCTGCGGGCCTTGGGAAGGGATTTGCTGTACCTGTGAACAGAGAGGAAACACACATGGGTGGGGTGGGGGT